TCTCTCTATCTCATTGCAGCTACTCGCATTGGTCGAATCCTTTGTTGTTGAGGAGCGGGTGCTAATTTCTTATGCTCAAGAGGGCATTGTTGGCTTTGTTGAACATGCTTTTTCGCAAATCCGTTCAAGCAGCGATGTTATTATTGTTACTCATTTTACATTCCCCTTATTTCTTCAAATATCGTATTCCTACTCTATTAATATCATTTAACTTTTGACTTCTCTTGCACTAAAAAAAGTGTGCTAACATTCTGCCCAGCCATTTGCAGTGCACAGACACACACACATTACTAAATAAATCTTATATTGTTAAAAGCCTAAAAATTATATTACATGTTACACTTAAACATTTTTATTAAATAATGAAATAACAAGTAACTTTTTAAGATTAAAATAAAATTTTAATAGAGAAAACATGATTTTTAACGTCAACTCATCTAAACCCCCCACCCTCCCCCCTGTCAACAACTGTCAAACATTTCCACACACACCCCACCCTCTCCGTTTTGTTGACGTAATTAATGGACGCCCCCTGACTAGTTTGTTAGGATTTATGAAGGAGGAAATAAGAATAACAAAAAAACACCATCGCTGTCAATCATTGTGTTATTATTACACTTTTTTGTAGAAAATTACACCAAAAGCTGGAAAAAAAACATCTTTTTATTAAACCATTCACACAATTGTTCCAATAATCCATTATTACAGGCACCATCTTAACACCAAACAAATCTTGTAGTATTAGTTTTACTGCTAGTGGGCTAGAGAGCATTCAATAAAATCATGTTGGGTCAATTAACTAAAGAAGAAGTGTTTCATCCATAAAGTCAGTTTTAGCAACAGGAAGTAGATACTCGCTAGATACATGAGGAAATCGGATAGTTAAGAATAGTGAGAGATAAAAATTGAGTTGTTGGATATTAATTTGTGGAAATGTGATGACAGTAATGAGAAAATTCACTTAACTGTGTTACTCATCCCCAACTATCTGCAGAGACCTATCAGAGCATCCATGGTAGATGGACATGGTGGGTTCTCTAGTTGGGACTCACAGATAAACTCGGGGTGGACATTCAAGGTTATCAACAGGCTTTGAGATTAACTGGGGAATATATTAATCAAGGGCATCAAGTGGCCAGGCTTTGAATTAACTGACGTATAAATATTAACAAGCATAACATAAAGACCTATGTTAGAAATGTTGTGGATGTGACGTGACCAGGAGGCAGATAAACCGGTTTTGTTTGATTGGCCAGCTTATTACCAGCTGAGAAAAGAAACAAAATCCTCAGTTTGAGGAAGACAAATCATGGCATGGATTATTAAGTGAGATTTACAGCAATCCTATAGTCATGGAATGTCAATTAACAGGGAGGTCCAAACAAACAAAAATTACATCAAAATATTTCAATGGTAACATAACTACATGTAAGTCATGCACAAAGGAATTATTTGTGCTGGTGCGTTTTGCCAACAGCAATTCCTTTTAATCCTACAAGAAAAGACTTGGGTTTAATCAAATAAGTTAGAGTGTGCATTTAACGTGACATGTGAGATGAGAATAGATGAAAAAACAAATACAAGATGTTTTATTTGCACGGCACCTCATCATTTAATAATGCATAGATTTATTATAACATGTCCATGGAGAGTAACACATACGAAACACAGAGACATAATAAGTTTCTTTCCATGTCCAGGTTTGAAAAACGTCTCTTTTCTTTTTTTTCTTTACAATAATTTTCCCCCATACAGCTCTTAAGTTGTTGTTTTTTAATTACTTTCCTTCTTGCGGACTGCTTACAGAAACAAACAAACAAACAAACAATCATACACTTTCCCTACAATGTTTATGATAGTTTATGATAGTTTATGATAGTTTATGACAGTTTAGTTTATGATAGTTTATGATAGTTTATGATAGTTTATGATAGTTTAGATACAGAACTCGAGGGGAAAAAAAACTTGACAGACTGCCTGTCATGAGTAGAGTCGTTGATAAAACAGCTGCAAAAATTTGATGGAAAAAAAAATTTAACTAAATACAGATAACTGAGCATGGCAGGCAGTTGGTGAGAGTGCAGAGTAACGCCATAAAGGAAAAAATAAACAATAACTCCTCTCAATATGTAAATTATAAAGGCATTCACCGGTGCAAATAAAAAAAAAATGTAAAAAGTAAGTTATTTGACTGAATCTTCATGTGTTACTATGGAAACACACCTGTAGTCAGGGTAACAACAGAATGATTAGAATGTTGGCAGGACAGCTGCAGACGACCAAAATGTTTGGTCAAATAACAATTACATCTTTCAATTAATTAGCAATACTAGTACTGAACTAGACATTCATACCAAGAGAGTTATTAGATGTGATAAGACCAATTTATTCAATATTCAATTGACGATGAAATGTTTTAAATTTAAAGCCCCTAGTTTTACAAGAAAGATTCAGGTTCAGTGGCAGTGATAGGTTTCATTGATGCATAGAAAATGAAAAGATTTCTCATTGTAAACAAAAGAATTTTAAGCTGCTGAAAACTCAAGCACCCTAATCATTTTGAAATGTATAAATGTATTCATACAGTGGTGAATGTTTTTGTTTGTACTTTTTTTCTTGGGGGTGGGGGGGTGTCATCAGTCCGAGTGGCATGCTATGCAACGGAACTATATGTTGACATGAAGCCCTGATCTGTTAAAAATGTTTATAAAGTCACACATAAGATTACGCAATCATTAAACACCTTCAAAACACAAACCAATTGTTGTTTCCTAGCGCCTATAATTCAGATTATCGCTGAGTAGGGCCATGTTACAATTGATTGGGAAAACAACTTCAAGTAGACTACATGGGACTATTTTGTGCTTTAAATACAATGAAATTACATATTGTGATCTGATAAGTTAAAGAAAGAGATAACATAGGATTTCAGGAACATTTCTTATACATTTTTTATCCAGATTAGTTAAGTAGCTTGTGGTATTCAGTTTTTGCTCTGAAAAGTGGGAAGGAGGGGTGTTCTTTCATCTCCTTTTAAAAAGATCAAATTTACCTTAAATAAAGTGTATTTTAATTTCAAAGGATCAAGCTCAAGAAAGTCTAACTTGAGTGCACTATTCAAACAATTTCAATGATGGGGAAAAGGGGGGGGGGGATATTCACTGAATTTCCATAGAACACACCCTAAATTATATTAGTTATTAATAAATTATATCACATTTCATTTTATTAAACTTGAGTGCACTATTCAAACAATTTCAATGATGGGGAAAAGGGGGGGGGGGATATTCACTGAATTTCCATAGAACACACCCTAAATTATATTACTTATTAATAAATTATATCACATTTCATTTTATTATGCTGATTGATACCGGTATTTAAAGTGTTTGTCATTTTGAAAAAATATTAATATATTATATACAAATAAAAAAAAAATATCCATTGTCATAAATATTTATATTCTTAGAGACAGTAATTGAGTAAACAAAGTTATGCTCACTAACAGTAATAGGTCACAGAAAAGAGAAGTAATTTGTCAATGTCATCTTGATCTATGTTATATCTAAAATTAAGTTTATATTATCATATTTATGTCCACAAAAAGTCATTTTATAGTCATATTGAGCTATTTAAATCTAAAAAAGAAAAGTAATGCATAATGTCACATTGAAAAAGTATCTTTTCAAAAATGTATTTATATTGTCTACAAAAAAGATTAATCATAACTAATTGTCTTCCTTGGACATATTTAACCAACCAAAAGGATGGTGCATCAGAGAAAGAATTTCTAACATCAGTTTCATAAGCTTACTCTGTCTGCATAAAGTTTTTAAAGAGATTTTCAAAATAAGAACATACTAAATTATAAGAAAGGAAACTACATGGTAATGTGTTATTATTTGTAAAAAAAAAAGGGAGATCAGTTATCATAAAAGGAAGCCATTGTACATTTGCTTTATAAAATTCCTTGATAGCCCACACATTTATATTCAGAAATAATTAATACTTTTCTTGGGTACATGATCAAACAAAGAATTGTGCATTGAAAAATCTAGCACCAATGACTCATGTTATCCCATTTTAAAGAAAAAAAATGTTTGAGTATTTGTCAAAATAAAGTTTTGGAAATTTGTTTTGGAGAGTGTATCTGGTTTAAAACTGGAATGTACAAAAAAAAAAAAATTGTTTTAAAATCCGATTTCAAATAATAGGTTTTAAAATGAAAATAAGTTGTTGTTTTTTTTTTGTTTTTTTTTGTTTTTTTTTAAATTGTTATTTTAAATAATGATAATGAAATTTTACAATATTTTCATCATTTCTGTTAAATTTGGTACTCCAGCAATACAGAGGTCAGCAATCTTTTTTCAATGGTGGCACACCCTAAGCCTTTCCTAGAAATCCCTGGCACACCTCAGGTAAAAAAATTGCAAAAATATGCCAATAACATAATGTAGCTAACATTCGTAATGGCGTGGAATGATGAAAGGTGTAATATTGTCGTTGCTATACATTAACTGTATTGGACACATTTCTGACACAGCAGAGTTTGACAGATTGTCCACAAAGTCCCCTTTGTAGCAACATACTTTTTTTATGTACCCACAATTACTCTGTGCTTTTCCTCCTTTTGAAGGCATTTTGGGTGGCAAACCTGGCATCATTTTGACACATCAATGAGGCGCTGCAGTCCGATTGTGGAGCTCTGCTCCAATACCCTATTTTATAGTGCAAAAATTGAGTCATCTCCAAAAAAAATAACTTCACCCTTTTCATTTTAATATTCTCCTTTGACTGCATTGTACGGGATTATAAACATTGCTAACGGTAAAAGTAAGCATAGAAGAAAATATATTCAACAAATTCAGGGTAATGGGTTTAAAATCAGATTTCTACAATGGATAATCAGTTTTCCACTACCACAACAAATTTGTTAACATTATTGCTCTAGACACCCAATTGTGGACCCAACATGAAACACCTTTTTTTAAAAAGATTCCTCCATGCTGGATGGCAGCCACCCATTCATTTGTTTGATTAATGCTCACAGGATTCTTAGTGATGCTGTTTGTTTCTACAGCTTTGTTTAAATCTACCTTATGGCCAAATTTCTCTTTTTTGAATGACGGGTATTAAAATTCTGATTTACAAGCTGACAATTAGACAGGCTGAAATGAGATGTGGTACACTGTAACGTGGACTTAAAATTACAATATGGATGTTTGATCAAATGAGCAGCTGGAAAAAAACAGGCACTCGTTTAAAAAAAAAAATCTTATTAGTATCCTTTTGTACGATCAATGTGTTAAGTCTATTAAAAAAGACATACAAATGGTTATAAAGTGAAATTTAAAACTTGCAGTGAGGTAATTTTTGTCTTAGAATACTGAAAGCAACATTTGATGGTGGCTCGTACAGAACTCTTGACTTTTTGCTCATCCTTTTCATCACAGAACTCTTGTTTCTTTCTTAAAATCATCTTTCATTTTGGAGGAGATGTAGAGCATATTCCTTGATGTAAAACAGCTGAATGAAAAATAAATATTGTTAAATATGTTTTTTGATGGGTCATCTCAACAATTGAAAGCAATGCATAAAACAAAACTGATGGCAGATGCCAACATGTTCAAACCCTTCAACTCTACAGAAAAGATGCATTTATGCATGACTGAGCATTTTGGTTTGAGTTCATTTACCAGGTAAGAGACAAAAAAATCTTTGATGACATTATGATGAAATATTTTTTATTCTGCTTTAATAAAAGGACGTCTCCATCAACATGAACTACAACTCAGATGGCTTCAACGGTAAAAATATGCTCCAACCAATTTTCTGCTCTTTGAACCCACCCTGCCCTAGGGGGCATCTACATATTTACCTATCCATAAAGGAAGGAGTTGGGTTGCTTGATTTAGGAGATTTTACATGCAGGGTGCATAAGAGAAAATGGGGGGAATGGTCTCAGAATATTTGTTTACTTACGTTAAAAAAAATGTATGCACAAATTCTGTAATAATCATTCTTAAATTCTGACAGTCCAAAAATAGCCTATTTAAATCTTTAATATAGCCTATTTATATATTTAATAAAACCTATGTATATATTTAATATGGGCATTTACTCGTTTAATATAACCAAAAATCACCTGAAAATCTTTGAAAATCCATGAGCTTTAATTATTTTCAAACTCAAAGGCTATATATACAATATATACAAATTATCACTGCAAAGTTTTGTAATTATTGTCATATTGTTGCTTTGTGTTTTTCACAACGTAACTCACCACAGAGCTGGGTGTTACAACTGAACTGGCAACAGAACTGGATATTACAAATGAACTCACAATAGAAAAGAATATCACTCGCAACTGAACTTGATATTACAACTAAACTTGATATTACAACTGAACTCAAAAATGAACTGAATATCACAAATGAACTAACAACTGAAATGGATATTACAAATGAACTATCAAGTGAACTGGATATCACAGCTGTAAGAGTTGACCTTCAAGTGACCACTTTACTTCACAATTGATTTTTTATGGTATCTCAATACTCACTATGTCAAACAGTTAGCGGCGGTCACAAAAAGGAGACAAAAACCTGTGATATAATTTTAACACACCTTATGTCTTCGTTAAATTTCCTTGTATGTCATAATTGTCTATAAATAAATGAAAACAACTGGAAGTGGATGGAGGTGTGGAGTTCAGAAGCTTTTGTATGCATGCGTAAGGAGGGCCCAAAAATATAGGGGTCCAAAAGGAGGAATGGGGTATGAAAACATCACTTTTTTGTGTGCACAATATATAATGGATGGCCCCTTATTTCAAATGCCCCAACCCCTTTTACAATGCTATGTACTACATATTCGGGTTTTTTTTAAAGTTAAAAGTATATTTCCGTACATTAAAGAATATGATAATTTCTTTTTAAATTAAAATCCATACCAAAATTCAAAACGGTAACATAATCCTGTTTGTGGAGATTAATGTTCATATGTGATGCCTCCCCCCACTCCAATTTTTGTTTACCCATGAATGTAAAAAAAGGATATGATTATATACATACTATAAGACATAAGTTCAAAAATTTAATTGGCTTTCAAATGAATAAAAAAACAGTAAAGATTTTATAGTAAAGAATGTCACCTCCTTTTATACAATAGCTTAACTCTCATAATCAAATAAATACTTAAAATAATTACGATATTAAATTTTTTTCTAATTTATAATAATCATACTTGAATATTAAGGATTACATTTCTTACCTATAACTTATAACTATAAGCAGATTTCTTTTATCAGATTTAACTTAAACAAAATTCGATATCACTGTTTTTCAAAAACCCTTTTATTTTTAGAAATGAGAAGTTTATCTAACACGCATATTGAACACAAATTTGCACACCGCCTGGTGCACTTAAGGGGAATTTTACTTTTCGATCTATTGAACAGAGCGTAATGCAATGACACTGGGTTTTTCTAATAAATATTCAACTGTCTAGTGAACATTTCAATGTGTACCAACCTCCACTATGCCACAAAGTACTCTTCCAATTATCAGCACATACAATGCCGTTGACTGTACTCCCTTGGGCACACTGAGTGTTTTTGTCAGCAATGACGTCTCAACTCCATACAGCCACAGAGGCAGTAGATGAAGGCTGCCAACAGCAAAATATCCCATAGGTGATTTAAAACCTGAATGTAAAGAAAGTTATATGTTTAATTGTAACACCAATTGATTACAAATTATATTTTTGTGCAATGGAACTGGAAAGTTGGGCCTTTATTTCCTGAGCCAATATCTGAAATAATAAATGTAAATAGATTTTAGTTGTTTTTTGTATGGGGTTGATTTGGGGGGGGGGGGGTTTAGCATGCCCAAACCCTAATTTTTTTTGCCTCCTGACCAGAGCAAGATAAAAATAAGAGAAGGCACCCTTCTTTTAAAATTGTTATATCCTTTTAAAAAAAAAAAAAAGTGACACCTCAGAGAAAAGAACACTAAGAATTACCACTGTCCATGACCCGTTTAACAATCCATGGGAATTGCTCATCTGGTAGCTTCCAGTTTTCCCCGCGTGAGTGTGTAGCCAGAAAAGTCAACCATTCCACAAACATAACCAAATAGCCAGCCTAATGTTTAGAAATGGAGAAAATAAGTGAATTAGTCAAAGTATTGGCTTCTTGGAGAAATATGGGTTTTTTATAACTGTTGACACAATTAAAAGAAAATGGCATGGGATACATAGCCGCTTACACCTTCATCTCTCTACTTTGTTCAGTTAGGCTTGTTATGCTAATATCACTGGTTTTGGGATTTGAGCTGATATCACTTCTTTGACTATTTATAGGAAAAATATACACCCACCAAGTCTTACGGTCAAGCACTGAGTTCAGTACCTATAAGAGCATTTATTCAAAATTAATGTATGGTTTTGATTAACTTATTTATAAGTATTATAAATCAAAATGAGAAGAAAGTGATTTGTCTATGTACAATTAGATATAAACTTTCAGAGAGATTAAAAAAAAAAATTCCCTTGATTTTATAAAAATTTGAAAATTGGGACTTTTCAAATAATGCTTTCGGTTTCCTTTTGTTATTTGCATCATTAGTAAATCAATAGCTTGCAAAAATAGAATATGTGTGAAAATGCACACCTGTCTTAAACCTTTTTAAAATGTGAAAGTTTCAGTCAGGTGGCCATAGTGTAAAAATCTACCTTCAATGTTCCTTACAAAATGATCACAGTAACACATTGAAAACTATTGAGTTGTGTTATAAGTGGATAATATAAATAAAGTCTTAATACGAAACTAACCTTATAGAGAGCACACCACAAATATCCACGAGTAAATAAATCTATCACAATGTCAAACTGAAAAAAAAAATATCTAGCATGTTATTATTTTACATATCTTTTTAAAATGATGTCATGGCATGTCTTCTTTGCATTAGCCTTGGAAATTTCTTTTGGCATAACATAATTTTTAAAAATAAACTTTTAAGTTGATTTCCCAATAGCAAAAGCTAAATCATCCCATTCAAAAATTTAATACATTATGATTTTTTGTTATATTTAAATATTTTGGAGTAGCTTACCCATGACCCAAATCTGGAACACTGTTTCAGCTTACGAGCACAGTATCCATCAATTCCTGGATAGACAAATTAGATAACATTGCTTGTAATTTTATTTTGGGAATATTTTTGAAAGATTACTTAAATGGAGGTTTGTGCTGTGCCTCTCATGTTTAACATACCACTCATGATATTAAAAACATTAAGATCTAGAGTATCTGAAATTAAAAGTGTAAATTGTAAATAAAATTACATGACTTTTCAGTGTTTTTAAATCTTTTTTTATAACATGGTCTCTTTCTTTTTTTTCTATTTTGTTTAATTTTAAATTTAGTTTCAGTCAATAGAGACTGCTTTTTTTAAAGCATTCTGTTGGCTGATATTACAAGGCATATTAATTGTATGAATTGCTTTAAGATAGCCAATTTCATGCCATTATTTTAGTTCTGTTAGCCTTCATAATTCTGTTTTCTTATCTATATTTACTCAGCCTATGACTTTCCCAAACTAACTTCAGAGATGTGCGCCTTTTAGGATAATAGCATTGATGGGGTGGTGAAATTCACCCCCCTTGAAATAAAATTTTTTTTGCTATTTGACTGGGAAATGTCTGACATGTCATATATTTTAGAAATTACTGAATAATATGAAAGAACAATTAAACATTTTCAATGTGACATTGTTGAAACTCTTTAATAAGAATTAATATTAAATAAAATTTAAATTACTCAAACATCTAGATGTTATACTTATACAAGTGTACAGACTATTTACCATCAAGAGCTATTGATGAAGAATATAAAACTGTGAAGGTTACTGGATGTTGAAAGACAATAAAAGAAGAAGCCGCCAAAATAATTCGTAAATAACCTGGGAATGGATGATTGAAATGGGATGTAATGTAATGTATAAAAGTTAGATGTTTAGATGTATAAAAGTTAGATGTTTAACCTAAAAATTAATTAAATAATAGTGATAATTTAATAATAAGCCAAAGAGGCTAAAACTAAATGTAAACATTAACTATTACTATTAACTAAATTCCAATCACCAATGAGTCTCAATGACTGATAACTTTAGTTATATTATCTCAACTCTCCATTCATAAACACACCATATCACCATAATTTCATAATGAAATGCTGTATTATTCAGTGTATAACTTCGACTTCATCGAATTTAAATTGAATTCTTTTTACTGACTGCATTTCATGAAGTTTGAAATAACGTAATAAACGAACTTTCAAGTTTAAGTTTAAACTAAAATGTCACTTGACTTAAACTTAAATCTTTAAGTGACATTAGTTGTTTTTTTTTTAAAAGCTAGTTTAATTTTGACATTTTGTTTGTAATGTTACAAATTAATATCAATAATAATAAATATAAAAGTCCAAAGCCATAGTCATAGTATAAAACTTAAAAGCCATAGCCATAAGTCCATAAGCCCTAAGAATCTAAGAATTTTAAAGAATTAATAAGATTAAAATTTGACTGATTAAAAAGGTCGGGCATCCACCGGTCACAATATTTAATTTAATGTTGTGAGAAGAATGCAGATTGAAAACTTTTATTTTAAAGCATCAATTTAATTATATCTCTGAAATTACTTGCCAATTATATTAGGAACGTACGTTAAAACTTCAAGGCCCATGGCCTTTATTATTAAGTTTAAGGCTTTCGTAAGTTAATTCTAGTTGCATAACATAACAACAAAATATGGTATAACAGCGTGATCTCCCTTTCTTGAGTTCACTGAGTTTAATTAAGTTTAAATTACGTTTCATCCGAGATGTTGTAGCTGGAGTGGATTGATAAATCTAAATCGGATTAATTAAAATATTTTTTATGCATAAATATTGAAACCTGCATCCTTCTTTAAAAAAAAAATTACCTAACATATTTACAATATAATTTATTGTCTTGCGATTAAAATTACAATAATTAGGGGCCCATCCATAAATGACGTCACGCAAATTTTGCCGATTTTTGACACCCCCCTCCCCCCATCGTCACAAAAAGTTAGACCCCCCCCCTCAAATATAACGTCACAAATCTCTGCACCCCCCCCCCTATAAAAATTCCCTTCGTCCATTATTGTCCTTTACAAACCCTTAAGAAATTCGCCTCAAATTACTGCACCCGTGACAGAAACATTTCACTAGATCAGTGGTGCTTAACCTGGGCTACAAGTACCTCCCCAACCTTGAGGTGCGGAAGACCAAAAATTTGTATTCAGTGGCGTAGTTAGAAGGGTGTGGACCGCACCGGTCGACACCATCTCAGGGGGTGACACCAAATTGAAAAATAACGTAATACAGAGCACACACTGATCGGTCTAACTGAAATTCATAAAAGGAAAACAGATAATACGATCATTTTCCACCATTATAGGTCAGAAACACTCCGTTTTGATCATGTTTCAACGCCGAATGAAGTGTTCGTAACTTACTTTTGTAAGCAACAAGAAGCTATAGTTATCTAAATTCTGAGAAATAGAGCTATCCTTTAACAACAATGGGCGATTCTAAGTACATGTTAAAGTTCTGAAATACATTCACCTCCTGATCTTCATTTAATTTTTGTTTGTTCTTTTATTTTTTATACTGTGGACTAAGTTTAACAAGAAGAAATACATCGTGAAAAAAAAGGGGGGGGGGTGGGGTTGACACCACGAGCTTACTGGATGATACCAACCTTAGTATGCCACTGATTGTATTTGTGGCCATTGCTAGTTGTTGCTCCTTTAATTTTTTTTTTTTTAATTCAAGTTTTTATGAATTTTGATTAGCAGCTGACAGTGCTGAATTTCATTGGCGCATTGCGTGTATTAGTAATTTTTTGCCCTATTTATAAAAAATTTAATTAAAGAAATAAAACTACGATAACAAAATAATTTAATTATTTTAAATTTTATTACAGTATATTTTTTACGGCTTGTGGGGGGGGGGTGTATAAAACGGAAAGGCCCTGGGGCGCTGCAAAAAAGGTTAAGAATCCCTGCCCTAGACTAGAGCATTTACTAAGATAACACCCACCCAGCGATTAACTTTTTTTTCCCGCTCCACCCCACTTCCCCTGTCCAGATTTAGCCATAAATTCGCATGACTGTCATTGTAACTACATTTCGATTTTCGACGACTGGGCATCCCGTAACTTGATCTGAGGCCAATCTTCGGACCTCGCATTCCTACTGTACTATTTCTCTCAGCCTCAGTGATAGTAGTTTTAAAATAAAATAGCTATAATTGTTTTGTTTTTTGAATAATGTTAAAAATGTCTGTAATTTAGTGTTATTAGGTGAGATTCTTTACTACAACATTCCGCTTTTCATGTGACGTCACATGGCTTGAGACCCCCCCCCTCCCTCCCCCTCGTTACACATCGTCACAAAAACCTGCCCCCCCCCTCTCGACGCGTGACGTCATTTATGGATGGCCCCTTACACAATCACAATGAAATGATCATTAATTATTAATTGATCACAGTTTTATAAATTTCTGAAGTGAATGAAGCCTACATTATTAATACGGAGTGGCTATAGGTACGGGTACCTATAGCAACAAATAGCTATTCGCACCAGGCTGGTCACGTGAGGTCTATATATATTTGGTTCTTCTTCTTCTTCTATATATTAAGGGCCCACTATCATTTTATGTATCATTTTGGCTCCTGTGCATGTAGAGGGGATTTGCAATGTTTCTGTGCCTGGTGCTGATGGGGATATTTAATGATTACGGTTGGTCACGTGACGGTTATGACGGATTTCCTCCTGTTGGTTTGCCATCCTTCAGCCATTATTATCATTTGAGAAATGTGCAACATTTTCAAGACATTCATGTAGCACTGAAGAAACACGAAGAATAATGTGACGTACAGCTCAAAGAAAGTAAGAATACGCTTATGTTTAAAATTTTATGGTATTTTTAATTCTATTTTAAATATAGTTCTATAATGATTAACATGACATCAATAAAGATCAAAGTTGCTTTTTTTTTTTTTTTTTTGGCGGAATATCGGCTACTGTCTTATCTGTAATTGTAATTTGAGGTAAATAGTGAAGGAAAATGCCACTATTTTATTAGTCGCTGCCATCTTGGTTGACACCTCACGTGAAGTTAACCAAGATGCCGACTGAAAAGTAGTGCAAAACACGTGTTTTTTAAATAGGAAGGCGAGGGTGGAAAAATATTTTAATTTTTCAAAAATGAAAGGAAATAAATAAATTAAAGGCTGTTTCAGATTTAGCGGCCCACGACGACTTTTTTTTTGTTGGATTCACTACCCTTATTTTTTTGTTAAAAGAGTTACATTTTCAGAATTAAAATTTTATTGGTTGATTGATTATAATTTTAAATTTTTGATTGGTTGGTTCATTATCATATTTCTTTTGTTCCGCCATATTTGATATCTTTTGGGTGCTTGTGGGATGTGGAGATTTATTCATTTTGTTGCTATATTTTCGTTGGAACCTGAAATAAAGTGTGTCTAAGTGTATTTCATGAAACTGTAAGTTGGATTTTCATTATTTCTTTATTTTGGGAGTTTTTTTTACATTTTTTGTCAATTTTTATCGTTTTCTTGCCACAGTTCATAAACTCCACGACTTCCACGTGTTTTTACTTGTGGCAGTAGGCGTAGTCGTAGTTTTAGGGTTCGGGTTAGGCACAGGGATCGATTTAAGACATTTTTTTTTCATCCATTTTACTGACAGCGCGGTCCTTTTCACCATTGTGCATCCAATTATGGTTTATTTGAGCTGGGTGTTACTGAGAAAGTTGTCTGCATACTTATTAGACTA